AGATGCGGAACAACAGATGCGGTAAAATTTTCGCAGAAGCAGAAACCGCAGATGCGGTCAAATTTCCGCAAATGCTGGATAGAACACATAAAATCGGGTTTTAGCCATTTTTACTCATTTTTGAGTTTTGAGTCTCGGATTTTGGCGATTCCAAAGCAATTTTTCACGACTTTGAATTGGGTAAGTATTCTATAACCAAAAGTGATTATATTTCATAAATCCATGTCTATATTCATCATTTATTTCGGATTTAGATGGAAGAAATTGGAATTTTTGTAAAACTTTCCAAAAAATAAAAATTTATGATTTGAAGATCCATTTGATATCGGAATCGGATAATTTTTGTATGGTTGGACTCGTATCGGAATGGGTGTTCGAATTTCGTAAGTTTTTTCGAGATTCGAGATGTGGGCCCCACTGTCAATTTTTAAAGTGAATTTCGGATTTTATCTGGAAAATTAGTAAATTCATATGGAATTAATTCCTATGATTCGTATTGAGTATATCGAATTGTTTGTGAATAGATTTGAAGCTTTTGGAGATAAATTTAAAAGAAAAAGATGTGGTCTAGTAATTGATTGAAATTGCAAAGTGAGGTAAGTGTCGTGGTTAACCTTGACTTGAGGGAATAGAACCCTTAAATTATTTGTTATGTAAAAAGCTTGTTAACGACGTATAGGCGAGGTGACGAGTGTCTATACGTCGTCAAATTAATTGTTTGCATAATTATTTGAAAATCCTAAATTGTTTTAATATTCTTTGTCAAATATTAGTTCTTGAATTCCTGCAATAATTGTTACATGCTTATTTGATTTATGTGCATTAATTGCTACTTGACATTTAACATATTAAATATTAAACTGCCTATTTTCTCCCTGATTTTCATAATAAATTGCTATTTGTCATTGTTTGTATCATAATTGAATCATAATTATTGTATGTTTATTGTCTTATAATTTTTATATTAATTGTTGCATTTATTGGGGAATTTCTTCTATAAGAATTGGTAAATGAATATATTAGAGGAGCGGGTTGCACGCCGCAACATAATTGATTGAAATGAATATATTGGGGGATCGGGTTGCACGCCGCAACAGACTTGCTTAAAAGTCGATATATGTATATTGGTGGATCGGGTTGCACGCCGCAACAGACTTGATTAAAATAAATATATTGGTGGATCGGGTTGTACGCCACAACAGACTTGATTAAAATAAATGTATTGGTGGATCGGGTTGTACGCCACAACAGACTTGATTAAAATAAATGTATTGGAGGAGCGGGTTGCACGCCGCAACAGAATTGAATATGAATATATTGTGGGAGCGGTTTGCACGCTGCAACGGGAATTGATTGAAATAATAATTGGATATGATTGCTGAGTTGACTTCAACTATAAGAATGAGTTACCTGATTTATTTCTATTATTGTGGTTATTACTATTATTGCGTACATGTTAATGTAAGTGACCTGCCTTAGCCTCGTCACTACTTCATCAAGGTTAGGCTCGGCACTTACCAGTACATGGGGTCGGTTGTACTGATAATATACTCTGCACTTCTTGTGCAGATTTCAGAGTTGATCCCAGCGGCGTACCATAGACTTGCTCGGATTTCAGCTACCCAGAGGAGACTTGAGGTATAACTGCACTGCGTCCGAAGTTCTTAAGTCCCCGTCTGCTTACTTTAGCTGTGTATTTGTTTCAGACAACTCTATTTTATTCAGACCTTTATTTGTATTATTATAGAAGCTCGTGCACTTACGACACCAAATTCTGGGATAGTATTTAGACACCGTTATTTTTATGAATTATTCACTACATTTCAGACTTTACTTCCGCATTTGTTTCTTTGTTATTAATAAATTTAAAAATTATTTTAAAACGGATAATATTATTTTAACGTTGGCTTGCCTAGCAAGTGAAATGTTAGGCACCATCACGGTCCCGAAGGTAGTAATTTCGGGTCGTGACACAAGTACTTTAAAAGATCACATGACATAACACTTCATAAAATCTCAGGAGAGGTTCAGGTACCTGAAAATATAAATGAAGAAATCTCTATGTTATGTCTTTATGGGAAAAAAAATGAGAGTGGAACCGATATAAAATATTCGTCGACGACATCTATGATAGCGTTAAGTATAGATGAGGATCTTAAGTCTGTCGCCTACAAGCACAAAAATATTGGCCAAATGAAAGAGACACAATTCGAATAGAATTGGTTTCATATTAAAGACATGTGGTTTTGGCTATGTAGTTCAAACACTTGAAAGTATAAAGTCAATGATGTGTGCAATCACCTTTATCTATCTTATATGTCTAGCATGACATAAAAACTTGATATGCATCTAAAGTATATTTATATGGCTTATATGACTTAGCTTATGTGACAATCCCTAAAGGATTTAAATCAATTAAAGTATATACAATTCTTGGTCCTGAATTACCGCATCCTAAGTGCAATTTGTGCACATTTGTATATTGCTATAACTATAAGCATGATAATGTGGTAGCGAGAATTTTTGCCTCTATGGAGATATTGAAAAGGCCATTCCACGACATTATATGAAGACATTATATATCTATCAAAAATGACAATTTCAAGGTGCAACATATTCATACAAGTTGATATGGTTGATTTGTTTATCAAATCTCTACCAACAATGTTTTGAAGATGGTGCATAAAATTGGAATGCGAAAGCTCAAAGATGTGAATTGATGCTACCATCAGAGGGAGTTAATACGCGTTGTACTCTTTTTCTCTTATAAGGTTTTGTCCCATTGAGTTTTCCTTGAAAGGTTTTTAATGAGTCAACCAAAAGGCGTATTGTTAGATATGTGTACTATTTTTGCTTCGCTAGAATTTTTTTTCACTGTGTTTTATTTTAGTTAAGGTTTTAACGAGGCAAATTATCTGGTGAATAGAGTTTCAAGGGGAGTGCTATAAATAGTATTTTATTTATGATGAACGTCTATATATTTTAGAAAGATCTTAGGGTTTGTTACTTGGTGACTAAATTACTTTTTTCCTATAAACAGAGAGATTATATTCTATGATAATTCATCCCAAATCAATAAGAATTCTTTCTCCTACTTTTCTCAGCAACATTATTCTTCTTTTGTTTTATAACAAGGTTAGTATTTTTCTTTACTAGTTTCATTACTTGTTGACTCAATGGTACTGACGTGGTGGGGTATCTAAAATTATATTCCTGCCGCATGCACTTGGCCATGTTTCCATCATTGTTAACTTTTTCTTTGTTGCTCAATGTGGTCCTTTCATTTTTATTTTTCATATAATGATTAGAAAGTAAGTTTATCACAATAAGTAGATGCCGGGCTAAAATTTTAATTATATAGGTTTTGAATTTAAAAAAAATAACTTTAAATACTAATAACTGAGTTATAAATTTAATATTTATATATATTTAATAAACTTTTTAATACAAATATATTTTTTAAACAAAAAATTATTACATTAGGCCGAATCAGTACCCATACTTCTAGCTCCACCCCGACTATAAGGTCCATCTCTCCCTCTCTCATATTATTTCTTCACTTTGTCTTTATGGATGGTAAAGGTGTCATGCATTTAGTAAATTTCATCCTTCCTGTTTTGCGAAATCTGAAACAGATATATTCATTATAGTACATGGCTTTAGAAAATTACTTGACCTAAGAAATAAGATACTCTAAAATGCTTGAAAATATATTTTTACATAATATATTAAGTAGCAATATATTAGCAATACTTTATACACCATTCACAAGCTTTGACAGCTCCACTGATTGAATGAAGACAAGAGACGCGTTAAGCTATTCACTTTGATGCTCTAACACAGAGACAACAGCTATTTTGACACATCAATATGCTGGTCACCAAAATCAATCTGGATTAAGCTCATTAACATCAACATAGTGAAATTAAAAAATAATGAGATTTATAAGTGGTAATTGAAAAATAGCCATAATTTCAAAAGTAATCGAAATTTAGCCATTTTTTATGTAAAGATAAATCTGAATGAAAACACTGTTCAAAATCCAGAAAATATTCCAGCATAATATACTGGAGTTCGAATTTTTTACATGTGAACTTCCAACATATTATGCTGGACCAGTATATTATGCTGGAACTCTAGTTTATTATGACGGAGTTCTAGTATATTGGAGTTCCAGCATAATATACTGGTCCAACATAATATGCTGGAAGTTCATACACAGGTGCTCCAATCTCCAGTATATTATGCTTGAACTTTCCGTGTTGCAACAAAATAGTGGCTATTTTTCAATGACTTTACAAACGCTGGTTATTTTTCAATTACTAGTCCGAAAACTGGCTAACCCGTGCTATTTTTACCATCAACACCTCAACATCAGGACCAATTAAGCTCAACTAAATGTGGCAGGTGGGCCGTGTCGGCCCGCATCAGGCCCCGCCAGACGCATTAAAACACGAACCAAAATGGCCCGGTATAGAGGAAGGGGCCGGGTTAGGGGTATTAGAGAGAGGGGCTGGACCGGACAACATGCTCGGTAACTTGGAAAATAGTCAAAATAACATAGAATAGCCAGTTTTCGGACTGATAATTGACAAATAACCATCATTTGTAAGGTCATTGAAAAATATCTATTATTTTATCCAGAGATAAAATTTGGACAAACATACCCTAGCTGAAACACAAAAAATTCAAACATAATATGCTGGATTATAAAGTTTCAATATATAAACTTCCAGCATATTATGAAATTCCATCACGTTATGCCAGCTACTTTCTTATTATGCTAAAAACATTCTTGGGCCAAACGGTTACTAGGTAGCTCTTGATTATTAGAATACAAAAAGGCAATTTGTAAATTAAAAAAAGCATTACTGTTTCTAATGGACTTTTCTTTGTCCCTTTATCCCCCACAAGATTCCACCTAATTTGTAACGGCTCTTATCCAAGTAAAAATTAGCCGTTAAGCCTCTGCCTTTTTCTTTCCTTAAAATGCTGAACCTTTTCCTCACTGAAAACCACAACAATCACTTTAGCTTCTGCCGAGTATCCCTTGTTTTAAAACACACACACCTATGGTTAAAGCAGCTCTCACCCTTTGCTTCCTACTTTTGTCCCACATTTCAGGTTTGTACACAAACTCTTATATCATTTGCTCTGTCATTGGCTCAAAATGAGTTAACAGTACAACAATTTTAACTCTTTTCCCTAGGAAAAAACAGAACCATTTAACTTTTGACATGTGATTTAGACATCTTATTTTGTTCATTTCTCATATCTATATACCTTATACTCATTGATGGTGTAATCTATGAACTATCCAAAGCACTGTCCACCCGTATCGGATTCTTCATAAATGTATTATTTATGGATGATCTGACATATAGCCGGAGACATTTTCGAAGAGTCCGAACAACATAGGATGTAATACAATTTATACATTATCAATGTAATTTTTGGTTAGTTGCCTTATTTTAGCATTGGCAATCCATTCTACCAAATGAGGGGAGTCTTAGCATAATTGGTAAAGTTGACGCCATGTAATCAGGAGGTCACGAGTTTGAGCCGTAAAAATAACCTCTTGCATAAATGAAGGGTAAGACTGCGTACAATAGACCCTTGTGGTCCGGCCCTGGACCCCGCACCGGGCTGCCCTTTTAATCCATTCTACCAAATGATGGTCTGCTCTTTTTCTTGTTGTTTTCTCTTCTACAATGGTTGTTAATATGATACTTACTGTTTCATTCTTGTTTTTACAGTGGGAACATTGGTGTTAGCAAATGAAAAGGTATTCAAGAACTCAATAACATATTTAAATGGAAATTTTTTACAAGAAAATGATAAGTGGATGGACTACTAATCTTTTTGCATTTGTTTTTTGCAGAAAACTTGGTGTGTAGCTAAACCTTCATCAGATCAGAAAACACTACAAGAAAACATAAATTATGCATGTTCTCAGGTTGATTGTAGGATCTTGCAAAAGGGTTGCCCTTGTTCTTCCCCAGATAATCTCATGAACCATGCTTCTATTGTTATGAACCTCTATTACCAAGCTAAGGGAAGGAATTATTGGAATTGTCACTTTGGTAATTCTGCCCTCATTGTTTTGACTGACCCAAGTAAGTAACACCTTTAATTCTTTAATTTTTTTTTTTTGGGCATGACATTTTAGTGGTAAAGGTGGTTCAAAAACTACTATAGGTTACAAGTTTAAATTTTATGCGTGACATTTTAGTATATTATGAACGCCCTTACATAAATTTCTAATTTCGTTATTGGGACCGGGATTCATATAGTCTGACCCCAGTTTTGCTTAGGATTAATGCGTTGTTGTTATCTATTTTCTTGCTATAACACTTACATTATGCAATTTTGACAATATTATTCAAGATTGCTGATTGATCAATTATGGAATCTTGACAATGGCAGGTTATGGCAGCTGTATTTATGAATGAAGCCATCATTAGGATAAGCAGCTAAATGTGGATGCCATTCTTTTGATCCTTTTTCCTTTTTTGGTTGACTACTTGTTTAAGAATATTATTAGTAACATATAATATGTCATTCTAGGGAGAGAGAAGCTCATATGACAATTAGTTCTCAAAATATAGTCCTGTACAATAACCCTTAATTTCAATAAGTCCTTGTATAAGTGGTGCCAAAGATCTTGTGTGAAACTTTTATTCCCTTGGGGATTTGTATTCTGCTTCAGCTGAATTATAAATAAGCAAAAATGCCACTTTACTTCAGAATATTATTGTAAAGGTCCCCAAACAGTTTGGTTACTAGTACTCTAACGACGACGACAATAATATCAAGCAAGTTGGGGTCAGCTATATGAGTCCTTACTATTCATGTTGCTCCATTTATCTCGTCTTACTCCAACTTTTTGAGGATTAATCATAACTTGACTAGTTTCACGATTACTATGTGGCCATAACTTTGCTGTTATTTTAATAACTGCCGTGTCGGAGCCAGATTATGTGCATCTCGACTGAGTTTATGGGTACCCGTTTTCTCCTACCAATATATGTATAGGATAATTCTATCCACTAAAGCTTAGACAGATAAGAAGAAATTACCCAGCATTTTTATCTCTACTGGCCCTAACCTTGCTATTAGAGTAAAATGAATTCATAGTTGTCTACCAAAAGAAAGAAAAAAAGAAATACGTGAATTGTATTGACATAATTAAAGTCAGACTCAGAATTTTAAAGTGTGAGTATGGTACAATTTACTTAAAAGTGTCAATATCCAACTTTAAAACTAATCAACAGCTCGTTTGATATAATTGTTAATTTTCAGGCATATTCACGACTATAGGATTGTCTCTATGTGACCTAATTTAGATCATAGGTTCAAGCCGTGAAAGCAGCCATTAATTGCCGTCTCACAGGTTCAAGCCGTGGAAGCAACTATTAATTGCTGTCTACATTACACCCTTTGTGTGCGGCCCTTCTCCAGAGCTGCATGAACATAGAATGCTTTGTGTACCGAGCTGGCTTTTTTCCCAGGCATATTCAAGATTACAGATACATTAATCTCCTATGAAAGGCTTCAGTCCATAGGAGATGACAAAGCTCCAGGTGTGGATGACTATAATGCTGTGTTTTATAAAAGAGCATGGCTTGTCATTAAAAATGAAATCATTGAAGTTGTACAAGACTTCTTCACAACAAGCAAAATGTATAAAGGAATTAACTGTACAACAGTTACCCTGATCCCAAAGGTAGCCAATCCTGCTACAATCAAAGAGTATAGGCCAATTGCCTGCTGCACTGTCCTATACAAGATCATAGTTAAAATCCTTGCAGGCAGAATCTAGAAGGTGATTGCAACCATTATTACAGAGACTCAATCAGAATTTATCCCAGGAAGAAACGTAGCAGATAATGTGATTATGGCCCGTGAACTGGTGAAAACATATACAAGAAAATACATCTCACCCATATGCATGATTAAGGTGGATATTCAAAAAGCATATGACACTGTGGATTGGAGTTTCTTTGAGCAAATGTTGATAGAGTTGAATTTCCCTAGAAAGTTTATCAGATGAGTGATAGAGTGTGTTACAACTGTCAACTACTCCATAATTATAAATGGTGAATCAACTCCACCCTTTGATGCTGACAGAGGACTTCGACAAGGAGATCCAATGTCTCACTTTCTATTTGCTATTGTCATGGAGTATTTGAGTAGAAGTCTCAGTACCCTAAAGGAAGAGAAGCAATTTAAGTATCACCCAAAAATGTTCTAAACTAAATGTCACACACCTGTGCTTTACAGATGATCTCCTCATGTTCGCTAAAGGTGATACAATCTATGTAGGGCTTCTACATGAAAAGTTTGGCATATTCACAGATGCTTCAGGATTACAGGCTAACCTATCCAAGAGTGTTATCTACTATGGTGGTGTATCAGAAGTTACCAAGCAGGAAATCCAGCAGAGACTTGGATATAGACATGGTGACTTACCATTCAGATACCTAGGGATTCCACTGGCCACTAGAAAACTGAAACTGGTAGAATGACAGCCTATAATAATCAAGATCACAGCTAGAATTTCATCATGGATAGCTCAAAAGTTATCATATGCAGGCAGAGTCCAATTTGTAAAGTCAGTACTATTTGGTATTCAATCCTATTGGGAACAGATGTTTATCATACTTGCTAAGGTGATGAAATCTATTGAAGGATATTGCAGAAGTTTTATCTGGTCTGGAGTAAATGAAATCACCAGAAAATCACTGGTATCATGGAGTAGGATGTGTATGCCAAAGGCAGTAGGGGGATTGAATCTCACAAATCTAAAGTTCTAGAACAAAGCAGCCATAATAAAGATCTGCCGGGACCTGAAGACTAAGAAAGTCACTCTTTGGATTAAGTAGATTCTTGAATACTATATAAAAGAACAATCCTTGGAGAGTATGCCTATTCCCCAACAAGCTAGTTGGATGGTTAGGAAAATACTCAAAGCAAGAGAGGAACTGTGTCATGTGCAACAAGATCACCTAAATAGCAAAAGTATGATCAAAAACATTTACTTGAGAATGCTAGGGGATCTGCCCAGAGATGCCTGGAAAAACATCATTTGTGGCAATGAAGCAAGGAAAAAAGCAATTTTTATAACATGGCTCCAATAACAAAACATGATATTCACCGCTACAATATTGAAAAGCTGGGGAATACAAGTTGATACTAACTGTGTCATGTGTAAATTGGCAGCTGAAAGCAGAGATCATTTATTTGCAGAATGTGCAATTGGAAGATATGTTTGGGATAAACTAATGAAGTGGATGCAAATCACTTGGGTGAAAATGAGCTCATGGAACCAGATGCAGCACGGATCGAGCAGAATACAAAAGGAAAAACTATACAGGCAAAACTAGTGAAGCTGGTATTTACAGAGTTTGTTTATGCAGTCTGAATAGAAAGGAACAACATGTTATTTGCCTAGAAGGAAAGCACGTGTGAAACAATAGCTAGAGAGATTGCATATACATGTCATGTTAGAGCCAATGATACTACTAAGATACTACTCCAAAAGTACAAATTTTCTAGATAAGAAGGAGAGAGTAAACATAGATAGAGAGTTCTTTTAATGCTATAGTGAGTTGTTCTTAATAGTTACTATAAGCAATGCGGACTGTATTATAAAGTCTAGCTGATTTTGTAAATGATACCTTGGTAATTAATAAAAAGTTGATAGTTACAAAAAAAAAAGATTCAATTCTTTGTGATGCTTGTCCTATAATTAGTCAGTGTACACCAGATGGAATTATATCACCAAAAACCTGTGTCTATTACACTAACTGGTTGAAATTAGAATTTTGATGTACCTGTCCATAATATTTCAATAGGATTCACAACTCTTACATCTTTAATATTCTAAAACTCTTCTAGTAAGCATTAGTTTCTAGTATGTATCATATTTTCGACCTTTATTATTGGTTTCTATCTCTTTGCTAGATATGATTGGATGAGGAGATCTTTAAATTTTTTGTAATATTTTATTTCTTGATTTTAGGTCTACCTATTTCTAATATTTTGTAATTAATCCAAATTCCAAGTCATGTATGCTATTACGTAGAAGTGTCAATGCTATTCCAAGTAAGTTCGGCCAGTTATTTTAGAATTTTTTTGTAGCATTTGGTGGTATAAGCAGCTTTTCATATTTTATGTTTTTGGGTCCTACGTTTAGTTATTATTGATTGAGTCCTTTTTATTTATTTTTCAGTCCCTAAAGGTGTCACTACTGTTGGTCGACACATGTCTAGTTTGTTATGCTACTTTCTAGTTAAATACCGTGTAGTTCTCTTTTGTAGTCTATGTTTAATGAAAATTGAATCTTTTTTTGTTGTATTTTTTTTTCTCTTCTTTATTATTTTTCTTAGCTTCTTCAATGACTTTTTCCACTGGGGAATCGCTACAAATGGTATCAGAGCCTCTGTTCGTGGCAATCCCAGTAATGGTGTATAAACAAGCAAATCAGTTTGGTGAGGAAATGGAATGCGCGTTTTCTGATAGAATGTTGGAAGCATCGCTCCAGTTTGAAAGAATTCAGAAGATGGGGACTGCTCTATTCCATGACCAGTGTCCCGACTTGCCTCTTCCATGGGAAGCTTCTCTGTCTTCTACAAACTCAGAAAGCATTGCAAACATAAGTTATAGTAACAGTTACTATGGCATTGAGTCTATTATGGAAGACAGTCCGATGCCAGGTAAAATTTATTTACATATCAAAGATCGGATCTAAAACGTACCTGGTGAAGAGAGTCTCATTTCAAATATTTCTTCGATAGTGCGAAGACTTTATACGTATCCACACCGAGACCGATCCTTACTATCAACCCTTTGATCAATGAAATCCGTGAACAACAACAACAACAACAACAACAACAACCCAGTATAATCCCATTAGTGGGGTCTGGGGAGGGTAGTGTGTACGCAGACCTTACCCTACCATGAAGTATAGAGGTTGTTTCCAATAGACCCTCGGCATCCTCCCCTCCAAGAACTACTCACTTTGCTCTTGGGGTGACTCGAACTCACAACCTTTTGGTTGAAAGTGGAGGTTGCTTATCATCATAGCAACCCCTCTTGTCTAGCAACCCATCCGTGAACAAATTGAATAAAATTATGTCCTAAATTTTTTCTAAAAGCTTTCAGCCAAGAAGAAAAACTATTTTCTTTGTCAAGATACTCTCTTGGATTTGTGCGTCTCACAGATGCCCTTGTGTTTGTAATAATTTTTCTCACATATATACTCGTATATATAGCATCTTAGTTGGTAATCCTTTTTCCACTAGGAAGGAAAAGAACGTTGTTCTTATTCCCTTTTTACAAGTCCATTACAATATCGGACTTTATAAAAGGTTTCCATTGAAAAATGGAATCCCAATCCAAATGGCTTTCATGTTTGCCGACGAGTCCTTTTGGACTTTTGACGTAAAAATTCAATTCTAAATTAGATTTGATTTTTAAGTTACTCATCAATATTTTATATACATACAAATATATATATATATATATCACATATATATAATTTAATCAAGAGATATATTTTAATTTTCTATTCCAATAGAAAACTTCAATTTGTCCACAATATTAATTATATCGTTTGTGCTAGCAGAGAATATAATAATATTTCATTTATACTAATAACTAATTTATTTGACTAATTAAATTCTTTAATTTAATTATCAAATAATAAAGTAATTAATCCTCTAGCAAAAACCAGAACACTCGT